CTATAGGAATGATGTAGTGCTCAAAACCCATCGATCGATAGGTATGAAATATGGGAATTGAAACGACTTCAAAAAGGGAAGGAAAAATGATTCCATCTTTACCACAGTATGGTGGCTAGGTTGTCGCAACTTGGTGACTGGGGCGGTAATATGGGTACATTTTTGACATTAGTCGAGGGCAACGTACTTTGCACCACGGTGTGGTATATGGGTACTGTGGCATGGTGGGAAAAGTAGAATGTCATTGTGGAATTGTCAATGTGGCATGAGTTGGTGAGACTGTGGGTTCATTCAAGAGAAAATTATAGATCGGTTAGGGATCATTCTTGCTCAAAAATACTCCCAACACTTAGAGAGGAAAACTTCAGGAATTTGGAGGAAAAGGGAAGTGTAAAAACATGTTTATTTATTAGATAACTAAGTAAATTAATGAACGAATCATAAGCCTAAGATAAATAATTGAAAGTTTAGGGGGTTAAAAATATGATTTCCGAAATTATTATAAAGAATTTTTGGAGTTAGGGACTCCATGGTAATTATTTGGGATTTATTTTAAAAGGAAATGAGGTGGAAGGGATAAGAAATGTCATAACTGAGAATTAAGGGTTAAAAAGATAAATTCTGGATTGATTTTGAAAAGGATTTGTTGAGAAAGGGATTGTTTAGTATAATTTGGACTTATTTTGTAAGGAGTTCAAGGGGCAGGGTTCATATGGTAAATATTGGCCTTGTTTTGAAAGAAAATAGAGAAGGAGGGATTGTATGTGTAAACATGGGAGTAAGTTTGTAAGGCTCGGGGTATATAAACCCGATTATACATAGAACCCCTAGAGACCATGTGCAGCCGTCACCCCACCTAATACCTCCCTCCAGCCGCCACCATTCACATCTTCAATCTCCGGCACCGCTGCTACCTCCGACCACCATTGTCGGGAACAAGAACCCGATAGCGTGAACAACCGAGTTGCCGCTGTAGTTGCTGCTGCTGCCTTGCGCAGTCGTCGATGAAGCTGGAACCGACACCATTAACCGATGTTTGCATTGTCGAGCCCGACTGTGACCGTCTCCGCCGCTGCACCGCTTCTGTGAAGAAGATGAAGTCAGCGCCCTTCGCCAACTTCGTTCGCCGCCGTTAACCATTGTTGGTGCCGCCGTCTCGAATCGCTATCGTCGCATTTAGCAACCAGGTGGTTGGTTGGATTCTTTTTCGAGCAGGAGATATGGGTGTGTGTGGTTCGTATGCTATCATGGCGTGTGAATCATCGTTCCAACGTGTTTGTGTGTGGGTTCTGTCGAATGGTTGCTGTGAAGAACCACCATGGCAGCCGGCCATGGTGGCTGCCACCTCAAGGACCGTCATAGCGGTTGTGTATGCTGATGTATGGGTTAATTTCGTGTGTGTGTTTGTTTCCTTAGTGTGTGTGTTTGGCCGGAATTCTAGGTTCAAGGCACCACCACCGTGAGGTGGTGGCTACCACCGTGTACCACCACCAACCACCACAAGGGTGGTTGCGGGTGTGTGTTCATTTAGTATAGTGTGTGTGTTTTTCGTGAGTTCCTTGTAAATTGTAAAAGAAAATGGAATAATGAGAAAGAAACCATAACCACCACCGTGAGGTGGTGGCTATCGCCTCCTGCCACCACCGGTCGTCGTGTCTGGTGGCGGTGCGCTTGCCTCTTATGATAGATTCGTTTGGGGTGCTAGAAACCCTAATGGGCTCAAAGGAGCTCTAATGGGCCCAATGAAGCTTAATGGACTCTAATGGACCCAATAAAACTCATATGGGCTTAATAAGATTTCAGTGGGCTTATTAGGCCCAATAAAGCCCTAATGGTCATAAAAGGCCAACAAATTGATAAATGGGCTAATATTTGGATTGGAACACCCTAATGCCAATAAATCTTAATTTTGGGGATTTAATCGGGACACACAGGAATTGTTTAATAACTTGAGATATTAAATAATAATCATTGGCAAACTAACATAAGACATAATGGACTTAATGGATTAAGTCCTTAATGGGTTAAGAAAGAAACACCGAACCTTAATCATCATTTCATGTGAAAACTCTAATTTGGGATTATGGGCTTGGACTTATCGAGATCCATATTTGGGCCATTTGAATGGAATTGTGTGATTAAGCCCAATCACACCATACGACTTATTTTGAAGAATGATGGACTTAATGGATTAAGTCCTTAGAGGAATAATTCCTTAATGGGTTAAGTAGGAAACTTAACCCAAATCGGCATTTTATGTGAAACCCTAACTTCACTTAGGTTTATTGTTGGGCCTTTCTATTGGGCCTTAATGATTGGATTATTAATGGGCCATCCAAGAATAATTATATGGGCTAAAATAATTTAATGGGACTAAGGTAAGTCCCATGTAAGGGGTTGGGCCCAATTTGGAAAATTGGGCCATAGATGGACCATAGTTAGGCCTTAATGATTGTATTATGTTGGGTCATCAGACCACGTATAGGCCTGGGCCCAATTTGGAAAATTGGGCCATATGATGGGCTTTGATTCCTAGTTCGCTTTGGGCCTGTGGTTTGGGCCTTGGGCTTGAATAAAGCCAATCTTAGGGTAATGTAGTAATTATCCAAGTACGTATTTATGGTTATGTGTTGGGACCCAATTATTAATTGGGTGTTATTTTGGTGTTGATAGTTCGGGAATCCATCATCCAGCAGCTGGGGTTGAGTCTGCGGGACTTCAACAGTGTGGGGTTGTGTCTACGGGACTTCAGCAGTATGAGGTGAGTTACCTTCCAGTAACGGTGGGTCTAAGGTCACAATGCAGGCCCACAAGTAGGAGATGTATGATTAGATGATTGTCTCTGTGATATTCATCTAGGGTTGCTACTACCTGTGTTATGTTTATGTGTTTGTATGATATGATGCTATGTGCTAGTGATAGTAGGGTAGATAGTCCCCAGGTTACCGGTCGATAGGGCCGAAGGGGCAGTCATGCCCAGCCATGTTAAATAGATTATGTGATACGTGTTATGTGGTAATGGTAGGGGTGAAATAGTCCCCGCATCCGGTCGAGAGGACCGAAGGGGAGACCAGCACCCAGACATGCTAGTCAATATCCGGTCGAGAGGACCGAAGGGGAGACCAGCACCCAGATATGTTAGTCAGTATCCAGTCAGGAGGAACGAAGGGGAGACCAGCACCCATATATGCTAGTCATTATCCGGTCGAGAGGACCGAAGTGGAGACCAGCACCCAGATATGCTAGTCAGTATCCGGTCGTGAGGACTGAAGGGGTAGGTCGGGCACCCAGATATGCCTGACAATATATGTATGTTATGTGATTATATGGTATGTGGTATGATGGGGGAACTCACTAAGCTTCGTGCTTACGGTTTTCAGTTTTGGTTTCAGGTACTTCGTGTTTAAAGGAAAGGAGCCGTTTTGATCGCAGCGCATCACACTATGGTTTTCCGCACATGAGATCTTTAGGATTACACTATGATATTGTTTCACGATAACATGATTGATTATTTCTACTTTGGTTTTGACATGACATGATATTACAAATATTTTATTACACTGTTGGTTTTAGAATGATGTATTTAAAAATGAAATTTTTGGCCTGTATTTTTGGGATGTTATAGGAAGGTTTAGGTAGCGATCAAGAGGGAATATAACAAGGATTGATCTCCATCAACTTCTAAAGGTAGCTTCTTCTTCTTATTTTTCCAAGCTTTTAGGGCTTTAATGGTGTGTTTGGGGTTTAAGTTGGATCTGCAAGATTATTCCTCAATAGCTTGTTATTGATGTTTAGTCATGTTTTTAGAAGCTTCATACATAATTTTTTAAGGATTCGATGACTGAATCCACGTGGTGATGGTTAGGGTTTCAAACGCTAGTTTTGGAAAATCATGAAATGGTTGATATGTGTTGAGAACTTTATAGAAGTGTTATGAATCCACATTTGAGTAGTTTAGCAAGTTTATTGGCAAAGGATTGTTAATACGAAGTTTTACCCAAAATATGAGTTTTTAGCCAGAACTATATTATAACCCGCGTAAAACGCGGGAAACATATAAAAAAATACATATAAAGTTATAAAAACCCGACATAATATCAAGATGGTTTTCAAAAATCTGATAAATGGTCGATATAATTGAATGAATATGGTTATCTGTAGAGCAACAAACTTTGTTTCTACTTATTGAATTCAAACATGTTGGAAGAGTTTAAAAACATGCATACTATGCACGATACTTATCCTTCATGTGCTAACTATTAGATGTGTGATATAAGAAAACCTATTCATTTCATATGTCTAACTTTTTTTATAATAACTATTGATAATGTCAATACATATTAAATTGCATTATATTTAAGTAAAAAAGATAAATTGATGATGCTATATGAATCAATTAAGTGAATATAAAAACTACATCCCTACTATTGGAAAAAAGGAATAGTACATTGCTATTTTCAAAAACAACAAAATCAATCAACATACATATTGATGAATAAAATAACATTCATCACCACTAAAAAAATCAAAACACATTGGTTTTATTTGTAAACATAAATAACACAATTTGTCATAGAAAACGAATTGGATGCATTAATGGCTTAAAATGGAGTTATAAAATTCTTCAATACATATAATAAAAAAATATCATAAAACAAAATAAACTTGACTTGACGATTAAGACTATAAATTAAAAATATATATATTCAATTATAAACTAATATAGAATAGTAAATATCTTCATGAGAAAAAACAACGGTTTTCGAATGCAATTTAAAATATATAAAATCACATATTTCTATTTGACATAGTCACGATCTCAAAATCAGAATGAAATAAAAATACTTCATGAGAAGGATGTGCCGAAACGACATACTCAATCGTATTTCCTTTAAAGATATAAAGGAGATTGTTCGATAATCCCACCATTCATTTACATCAGCATTGTAATTACTAACATCTACTTTAACCCACCAATTCTAAATGAACACCCAAATAGTCTACAAATGATCTCCACTTATAGAAAAATATCTCAATTTTCCGTCAAGCTTGATAAGCCTCGATGCATACGAGTTGAAATAATTAATAACAAAAGTTGCATATATCACTAAGTATTCTTCTGAATATACATAGAATCGCAAAATATCATAGTTAGACAATAAGAAGTAAACCACACCTCGACTCCTTTGGTAAAACTGGAGAATTATATTTAAATTGAACCTAACAAACATATTTCAATGAAAATCCGATAATTCAATCGTTAAAAATATAAATCAAACCTATAAAAATTGAGATTTTACACATTTATTGGACATGTGTAAACTTACCTTTCATTCATTACTGTCTTATTCTTGCCTAGAACTCCATACGACATTCCTTTATGTATTTAGACCCGCACATCATCAAATATTGTGAACTCTTTAGCCCAATTGACAAAGTTGGTAAAGAAACAAAAAAAATCTCTATGAATAGGCTACGAGTTATGTGGAGACAAATAAGGTATACCCTCCTCTTCCGCATGAGAATCAACCAAACATGCATGGCTTTCAATTAGTTGGATCAAGGGCTTAATTGCATTCTCCATTGCAATCCCTAGATTTACCAATCTACAAAATTCATTCAATACAAAAAAACATATTAATATTAATCCTATAAGAAAACCAACTTAAACTATACCTTTCCTAAATGAAGATCAATCATTCCATGAGCACCACTAACATATCTAAAATTTGATTCCACGTCTCCCGTCGTCAATTTAGTATGCAACCTAATATTGTAACTTGCCATATGAAAACTCATATTTATTTTCTAAATATGACAAGGATTCAAACCAAATCAGAAACCACTTTGTGAAAACACCAAAAAAAAAAAAAAGATTTCAGAAAACGGAGATTTTATTTTACAAACAACAAAACCTTGAAGATATACTGATTAGTGGCGATGGAGTTTAGCAACAGTGGTGGTGGCTGCTCGGTGGTGACAAAGTTTCCATGATTTCCCTTCCATTCCATTCAACCAAAGAGACAAATTATTGAAAAATTGTCATAATAGGGATTTCAGCATTTCGTACCTCTTACTAAAATCAACACTTGAGCACTCAACAAACAAAACTGGCTAGAGTCCTACCTTCACCAACAAAATATGTAGCATTATGCATCCTAGGAAGAAAAAAGCATTCTCACGTCAACAACCAACAAATCCACGACAAGTAATTCCATTGATAATAATAGGCAAAATAACTGGAAACCTCCATGGTCATCGGAGAGTGTTCAATATCAACATAAAATCGATCAATCAATATCAACATAATATAGATGAAAAGGATGAATATTTAACCTCCAACAACCAATCCTTCTTGCGCTTCTTACCTAACACTCTGCATGTCAATCATTCCTTTAAATCAATATCATAACCCTAGGTATATAGAAAGGGGTGAGATTTTGGGAGCAATAATTAAGGATTTTAAAATTGAATCTCATCAATAGAATTAAATACCATTATGAAAAGAAAGATTGATTTGAATTTGTCATTTCAAAATTGGGATACATTCATGAAATCAACATTTGATTTGTGAATCAAATTGTATATGAAAAAAAATAAAAATAAAACTGTGAAAATGTTGTGCATAACGCCTTAAAATCAACTGAAACAATCGAACATCTTCTTCGTTAAGAAACCCTTTCCCCCACCCCTAAAACCTGCAATGTAAAGACTCAAATGGGTCGTCAAGAAGAAGATAGAAAAAACTCTGAATTTGTCGTCAAGAAGAAGATAGAAAACACGGTGAAATAGAAGTGATGGTATTATTGACGCTAAGAACCTTTAGGAAGATTGTATCGATAGCGTAAGGAAGATGGTTATAATCTTGTTCCGAAGTATGAAGAGAGACATAGGAGATGTGGTTTCATGTTGTAACATGGAGACGTTATGGATTCGCGTGCGTACGCATTTTTTAAAAGAAAAGGCGTTTGATTTTTTATGTGAGATGACATCATCAAACTGATCCAAAGGTCGAAAACCATTAAGAGAAGCCAATCAATGGGTTCTAATTGTTGAAGGTGGTGTAATAAAGTTTCTCTTTTAATATATATAGAGATTCCTACGAAGCTCTTAATGTTTAAGACATGTAAAAAGGGCTTAATGTGTCAATGGCATAGGTTGTGGCAAAGAGGTGTTGGATTCTCCACAAGAAGATTTGATGAATGTTTGGAAGTAGGTTGACATTATCTTAAAAGTGGTGACTTATAACTTTCATTAGAGTATGCTTTTATGGCATAGGTTGTGGCAAAGAGGTGTTGGATTCTCCACAAGAAGATTTGAAGAAGGCTTGGAAGTAGGTTGATATTATCTTAAAAGTGGTGACTTACAACTTTCATTTTCATTAGAGTATGCTTTTATGAGCTAGATTTGATGCTTTGACCTTTCATTATTTTGGCTAGAGCACACAAAAAGTGATCCAACCCCATCCAAGTTCTAACCGTTTTCATTAATAGACCAGGTTGGGTAAAAATTATTAACCAATTTTCAACCCAGCAACTTATTTAATATATATTTCATTTTATATTTAAATATTATTATTTAATATTTTAATTATAATGTTATATTATTATTATTAATATATATGTTAAAAAAAAATAGCAATCGTAATTTCTATCCCTAACATTATTGTCGATCACATTCCATATTTTGAACATCACTCCTCAATCACATCGCACACTGCTCCACACCAAATTGTCGAGTTTTAAATACATAAACAGATCAATCCAATGGTAATTTATTTATCTGATAGGTTAGGTTGAATTGAAAATTTCAACTTATTTAACTAAGTAGGTTGGGTTATATTGGAATATTGAACCATTAAAGAGATGAGTTGAACCTAAACTCAACCCATGTCAAGTTGTCAACCCATTGTGGGTCCTAATGTTGGCTATCTTGGATATAGAATGACATTTTACCCTTTTTTTTTTTTTTTTTTTTTTTTTTATTCTTTTTTATCAGTTTATTATTTTCTTTTTATTAGTCATTAAACTCTAATTTCCCCTTTGAACCTCCACTCCCAGCGCCCTTTAGACCACATCTAACGACCGCCCACCTCCGCCAAAATCAAAATTATAACTAGCCTTAATAATAAAAAATCAAATCTAGCAAACATGATGTCCATGAAATCAAATTGTTTATATAACTTGTTACTAATTAAGCTTCTCAGTTATTCCTATGTTCAATCTTCCAAACACGAAGTCCATGAAATCAGCTAACCTCAAAATCAACCATCACATCGCTATCATGGAATCAACCTGCAATAAGAAGTACCAAGGCTTTCGTTATGTATGTTTGTCGGTCTTCCAACTTAGAAGTTATTGTGAACATGAATATAATATATAAAGATGAAAATCATTATTTTTACGGTTGTTTGTTTAATTTTAACTACAAACCTTTTGCTAATTAAATATTTCATAGGTTTAAACTAACAATACATAAAACGGATAGGGTTTCGTATTATTATCAAATGAGAAGTACAAGATCGAATGAAAGGAAAAAGAAATAATATATATACTAGCTAATTACGTTTTCTAGATAATAGGCCAATATACAACCCAATACAAAATAAAGCTCAAAATCTTATTAGACTAACATCCCCCCATAAATTCACAATGCAACAACAATAAGCATCGAGAGTTTGTCGAATAGAAAATGAAATCGAGGAGCAGTTAATGGCTTCGTAAGAATATCAACAATCTGCAAGGTGGAAGGTGTAACATCCCAAAAATCACGATAAAATTTTTCATTTTCCAATTAAGGTAAAATAATGGTTTCCAATAAAAACCCAAGTCAAAACCAAATGTCAAATACAATATCCAAAATTAGAGTACCATACAGTCTCCAAAACATGTCACCGAAGGATGTGTACGATCATGCCTTTGCTTCCCTCCGATCATCTGAAGTACCTGAAACATAGCACTTAAACCATAAGCCAAAGCTAAGTGGCTTCCCCCAAAATAACACCACACAAACACATAACAACATGCATATTGGGTCCACAACCATCGGACTGGATTACCCCTGAGCCCACAACATGAGTATGGCTTGCCTTCCTGGCCCACGACTCATGTATGGGTTGCTTCCGAACCCACAACATAAGTCTAGCTTGCCCTTTCTGGCCCACAGCTTATGTCTGGCTTGCTCCTGGGTTTGTTAGCTTCAACACAGAGCAGTATTGCCTCAACCCAACCACACTATGTCGACATATGCAACATATAACATATAACCAGCAAGCAGATAATCATTCAGATCTAACAGATCACTACAACATAGCAACATCCTGTATGTGACATCCCTAATTTCGCGGCCAGAAAATACCAATTTGTTTATGCTTTGTTTTATAAAATCAGAGTAATCCTTTGATTAAAAGAGTTGTAGAATTCGTTCCCAAAACAAAATGTGATCAAATTTATCAAAACGCTTCTCAAAGAGAATGTATTTTCATTAAATAATAAAACTTCGGGATGTCAAGTTTTGATACATACCAAAAGCATAAACAGTACAATACAGACCTTACAGCAGTTATTTACAACTACAGGTCTATAATCAAAATGTCTTGATAAGTCATCCAACTTATGCTCTCGCGCCACTACCTGTAATGCAATTAAAACTTAGTGGGTCAGGCTTGGGATCCTGGTGAGCATATAGGGTTTTCAACCCACAATAATATAATCATTATATTTAATTATCAAACTATCAACCCGATTACCCATCCCCAATATCTCCTTTCATTTATCAAAGCTTTACCCTAAGAATCAATTATCCTCCATTCATTTATTCCTAAGAATGGACCTAAGGAATTGCCACAAAGTCCCTTTCTGCCTGTGGTCCATACATCTGATGAATACGTAATTCAAACATCCGATGAACACCTAGTTCTAAAATACCTAGTGAATACACTCAGTTCAACGACACTAAGTGAACACATCTAGTTCAAAAATACCTAACGGACACCTTGAGTTCTAAAATACTTAATGAACACATATAGTTCAAAATACCTAATGAACACATTGAGTTCAAGGACACCAAGTGAAAGCATATAGTTCAAAATACCTAATGAACACATTGAGTTCAAAAACACCAAGTGAACACATAGAGTTCAAAAATACCTGATGAACACATTGAGTTCAAAACACCTAGTGAACACATAGAGTTCAAAAATATCTGATGAACACATTGAGTTCAAAAAACCTACAGGTTACAAACCTGTTAACTTTTCATTGGATTGTCTAGAACAGTCGGTGGTCATCATCTCTATTCCACTAGTTAAATAAAACATCAATATCATCCAAACTTCTTATCATTTCATCTCACATCAACTATTTCATCTACCCATGTTCTACCCAACATATTTGTAGATATAAATTACATATAAAGTTATAATCATTTAAAAACTTGTATGAAACATTCATTCAACATCTGTGTCAAGTAAACAAACAATATATAAACACATAGCACGTATTTCATAACAAATACTTCATATCTATGTGTAAGGTGAAAGTAACTACACACTCACTTGATTAGATGATTCTCAGACAGCACTATGGCTCTAAAAGTAGTATTGTTCGGTGAAACCGGGATATCTTCACACACGAGGCTTATCGTGGGCAGAGTTTCGGCTCAGAAACTCTTTTCTTCTCGGGATCTTCGGTGCTTCGGGACTTACTTCGGGTCTCGGGATGATGTCGGGGCTTTGGGGGTGTAACTTGCATGTAAATCGAGGTAATAAGGACTGAGAGAGAAGAATTTGAGCAACAAAACCGGCTGCCCTTCAATTCTATTTATAGGGCTGATTTTTCGATTTTCACGTCATGAACCCTCATTTCACGTCGTGAGCGTCGTCAGGCATAGGGCATTGTGTTCGTCATCAGTCCACTTGCTCTATCAGGCCAGAAGGCGTCCGAAGACAGTTCACGTCATGGTCTCTGACACTGCTTTGGGGTTCGCGCCCCGAACTTCATAAATTCATATA